AAAAAAAAAAAAAAAAAATGTTATAAAGTAACACGTAGTATAAAAACTGACCATATATAATACAAAATGATAAAAAAACAGGAAACAGTTTTATTAAGAATTTCCTAAACAACTCCACAGCTATACTTCTGCATGTGCACGTATGTTATTAACCCTAGAGAGTTTAAACATGCAAAAGGTCCTTACGTTACCCCCTCTATTCAAGTACCTACTGATGATTTAATTGAAAAGTCCCTGTTGTAGGTTTGAATAAAACTTACCCTCTCCTGCCCTCCGCATGCATTGTACCCATTTGGCTGATTTACCAAAAAAAAAAAAAAAAAGAGAGAGATAGATCTCCCGCGCGAAGAACAAGAAGTAGAAGAGGTAGAAGACCAGAAAAGGGCGACACACAAGGTGAGCCTCGCAGGTAAGCATGTTAGAGAAGCGCTAAAATGTGAGCGCGCGGTAGGGAAGCAGTAATAACGTGTCATGGGCAAGAAGTAATAACGCGACACACAATTCATGCTTCTCCCAACCCGCTCACTTGCATACCTCCCACAATAAGTTATTCTTCACCGCGACCGTGTGATACGACATGGTGTTTACGAGGATGGGGTGGCTCTGTTGTAGGCAGGGAGGTGGCGCGTCCACACGGTACATATGAGTATGTTCCTCCACATGTGTCACATCCGCATATGTGCATGTCATACCCTGACGCAGGCCTAACGGCACGAAGCCCCCCACACGATGGTGAGCAAGAAAACGCTGGAAGCGCGAAAGGCCTTCTACAATGAAGACGTGGAGAAGTCCAAGGAGGCCCATGACTCCTACCACAACCTGGACACACATGGAGAACAACACAGTCTAGATAGGGATAATTTGAAGACGATTATTTTTGGAAGTCTCGATGGAATCATCACAATTTTTGCCATCGTCTCCGGATGCGTCGGAGCAAAAATAACACCTGCACAGGTCATAATTATTGGTGTAGGTAATTTATTTGCAAATGCAATTTCCATGGGGTTTAGTGAATACACGAGCACGACTGCACAGAGGGACTTTATGTTAGCTGAGAGAAAAAGGGAGGAATGGGAAATCGAAAATTGCCCATCCGAAGAAAAGCAAGAAATGATTGATATATATATGAACAAATATAAATTTGATAGTGAGGATGCGAGAAACCTTGTGGAGATCACCTTTCGAAATAAAAATTTTTTTTTGGAGCACATGATGTCAGAGGAGTTAGGACTCATTATCACACATGAGGACAAAAACGAGTCATTGAAAAAAGGAATTATTATGTTTTTAAGTTTTTGTATTTTTGGAATGATTCCTTTATTTTCTTACGTGGCCTACACTTTTTTCTTCGAGTACACAGATTATAATACCTCCTTCGTCGTTGTTTTTGTGTCCACATTGATTACACTTTTCATTCTGGGTATATTCAAGGTAGGCACAGCGTCGGGGAGCGAGGCTATGCATATGTGGTGGGAAGTTCAGGGGTGGATTATGTGTTCAACCAAGGGGAGAGGATTAATAAGTTCCCCTCAATTGTGCCCTTTTTTACGCCCTTTTTTTTTTCACCCCCCCCCCTGCAGTCCCAGTTCACCAACCAGAAACCCATCCACTGCGCCCTATGCATGGTGCTCAATGGATCCATTGCCGGAATGGTGCCATTCCTCCTGGGAATTTTGCTTAAAAACAACATCGCCGACTGATTGGAAGTTTAGACAACAATTGAGGAGTATTTTTTTTTCCCCCTTCAGATTTATGAAAACTCACCCCTTGTGCTTTCCATGGGGTGGGGGAAAACAAAGGACCCCCTTCAACAGGTCTTTTTTTTTTTCCCTACATCCGCAGTGTATCATCGCCCGTTTTTTCATCCCGTAATTTTTTTTTCCATACTTTTTTTTTTTTTTTTTTGTCCACGCGTTCGTTCATAGCGTTTATTTTTGCGTCGTCACTTTTTCTCCAATCCTTATACACCTGTTTCCATCGTCCCTAATATTTTTTTACATTCGACTTTTTCTGTAAACAAATTGTTTTGATGCACCTCTATAACAGCATCCCGTCTGCCCAAAGTGGCGAACTCGAAAAAAAGGTGCGCAAATACACTTACCGCAAAGGGCCAAGTGGACCAGCTAGTGTGTGATACACGATTATTTATTTATTAATTTTTTTTTTTTTTCACGTCATATGGAAGGCGTTTTTGGTCTCTGCTGATCGTCACTCCACCTTGAACACACTTCTGTGTCCGCGATAGTGGGCACAATATGCATTCTAAGCGTGGGCATGCACTTTTTCATAAGCGCGTAACACTTGCACTAAGTGTATAAACCTGAGCAGGCATGTAGCATGTCCCTGCGCGCAAACGCTACTTGCATAGGCGCTAACGTGCACTGCCTGGGGCGACTGCGAATTTTTTTGAAAAAGGAGAAAAGCTATAACCCTACTCCGCTGGTGAGTAATCCGTTGTGGACTGCAAAAGGAGTAGAAAAAAAAAAAAATTTTGCAATGTGTTTTTCCCTTTTTAAACACATATGGTGGGCAAAAATAAATTAGCGACGGAATTTTTTGCCCTTTGGTCATTTTTGCTTCCCCTGGAATAGATACCGCATACATTTACGCAGCCGTTTACGAAGCCATTTGCGCAGCCGTTTTGTATGCATTTGATGAAGTTCACTGAAGCTACGCACAAAAAGACCACCTCGAGTGTAACTCATTGGAGATGCATACAAAGAAAGGGAAAGAGGCCATGTTATTATGTTTGAACAAGAGCCATATAAGGGGTTGTATCCTTTGCGTGTAGAGTGCTTCCCCATGTTGTATGTTAGGTGAACGTTATGTTGATAATCCTTTGGCGCTGAATAATCCACACCTAGAAGGGGCTGGAGGGTGGGGTTTTCTGTTAGTGGTGATATTCTTTTAGGGGTACCCATTTGTGTAAGTGCTTCTAGAACAGTGTGTGGCTAGTGATGACACATTGGTAAGTTGCATCAGTAAGGCCTCTTCGAGTTCGGTGTGATTGCTTGTCTTTGCGTCACGTTCTGCTGGACTGACCCTGCGGCAATTCCACGCCAATTAAAAGCTGACCAAATAACGAGATTAGCAGTCCACTGCGCGATCGGCGCTCCTGCCCGAGAGAGAGATTGGCAAAATGAGCAAGGACTTGATGAGCGGGTCCATCCTGCACTGCCTGGAAACGGCGAGCCTAGGAATGCCCCTGGAGGTATGGAAGACGAGGATGTGTGTGTACAGGAACGAAAACACCATCAGATCATTTGTCAACATTTATAACAAAGGGGTAGGGCAATTCTACGCTGGTTTTTACGCCAAGTTAGTAGAGAGCTCCTCCAAGGGAGCCGTCCTTTTAATATCAAAAGAGCATATGATTAAATTGTGCACCGATTTAAATATAAACCAAACAACAAGTGGCTTTATTGGTGGGGCTTTCGGAGGCATTTCACAATCCTTCGTTATGACCCCTTGTACCTTTTTTATAACTGCGAGTATTGACAACAAAATTAATTATAAAAAAAAAATTGTAGACATTTTTAAGAACAGAGGATTTACGACCTTGTATAATGGGAACAGTGCCATGTGTTTGCGGCAGGGGACCAACTGGGCCAGCCGCCAGGGCATTACTGAGTGGGTCCGTAACTTATTCATCGAGCGGAAGAGGAAGACGGCGGAGGGATTGCACCAAGGACATTTGAAAAATGAAATTGCGGATAAGGGGGATCAGATTAATCAGTCCACCACGATGCAGAAGAATACCCATTCGTTAGACAAACCAGCAGATAGTGCTTGCGATTTATCCCCCACGGAAGAGCTCCTCTGTGGTATCCTTGGAGGAGCCCTATCTGTTTGGAACAACCCGTTTGACGTAATTCGAGTGTACATGCAGAACAACGCGAATAAAAATATCAAGCTCACGTTCATGCAGTCATTTGTTAACCTGTACAAGGAGGGAGGGATCCTGTACCTCTACAAGGGGGTTATCCCCCGATGCTTCCTGTGCATCTGGCAAACCCTATTTATGGTTACGGGGATTAAAATTTTGAACAAATACGTTTAACATCCGTGTGTGTGCGTGGCGGCTGCTTCCCCACCATATAGTTGTTAACCTTTTCACACCTTATATCTGTCCAGCGATATGTACAGGCCACACGTGAGTTTGCATATTTCTCATCTCCCTCCTTGGGGTAGAGTACAGACCCATTTGTGGTCCCCCCCCCATAGGCCTAATTAATTGGTACCGCTGCTAGTCATCTGTTACATAACAGGTTAGACAAAAGTATGCATTAAGGAAGACGCACAATATTCTCACAAACCGTTTTTGGGTAGAGACCAATCAGGTGAACGTTTAGCCCGACAGTTATGTTTGACTTGTAGGAAAAAAAATGCCTGCACTGTAAGTATACACGGAGATTACGCGCGCGCGTGTGTGAAGCGCCGCTTCATTAAGATGTACGCGCTGAGCGCGCGAAGAGGACACTACCCCTCCAGAGAAGAGCTGCCTTAGCCCGAAGAAGCGTTATTGAAAAAATTTTTCATTTCATAAAAGCTCTTCTTCTTAATCTCGTAGGCTATCTTCTTTAACAAATTAAAATTTTTGGAGTCTCTCTCGGCGTAAATGTCTTTAATGGGAGGTCCCGTTTTTTTTTTGTGGATGAAGAGCTCATAGTTATTCTGTTCCTTGAAGGCTTGTACATTAACAGGTTCAGGCATAGCACACCCAGATACTTTGGATATACGTACACACTCGCCATGCATCATGTACCTCCTCTTAACCACTGTTGCTTTTTTCGTTATAGGGTCTAGAATGGCAACGTTAGTGATGTGTATTGGCATTTCTTGTGTTATAATTGAACCAGCATTTTTCTTTGTGACATTCCATGCAGATTTTTTCATATTACACCCGTCAACTATTACAGTGTTTCTTTTTGTATTAATGTTTAAAACGATGCCTTCTTTGTCTTTATACGGGCCATAGAGTACCTTAACCAGGTCTCCCACTTTTATATTTAGGTACCTCGATAGGTCTAGGTGCTTGGGTTGATTTCTTTCTCTGAGCGGGAACGGGATGCTCAGCTCTTTGCTTAATTCTAAAAAGTCCAGCTGCCCATATTTTCTTTTCCGCTTATCGAGCCGCTTGGCCTGCATAAAGTACTTCACATATCTGGACATTGTGAGGGCGAAGCGGGACGAGGGGAGCGAGCGGCGTGGTTCCCAAGTAGGTGTACCCACCTCTAACCTACAACTCCTATTTTGCGAGACAATCGTCGAGGGTGCCTTCTGCAGGGGATGCACATCTCTCCTGTTACATCACAGCGTGTAACGTAATAATTTGCACATGCATTTGTGATGAAGGTAGCATCCTGTAGTTTTTACCAATCGGTGTGTGTGTGGGGGGGTGATGGAAGGGTCCTTGTTCTGATGTGAGTTTATTTCTACGTGATGTGACTTCTATTCGCTTCTTTGTCCCGCAAAAAAAAAAAAAAGGTTTTCCACGACTCCCCCTGTGAGGCGTATTTCCTTCCGTCGTGCTTTAACTTAAAGCACACGTGTCAATCCCTTCCTTTTCATTTCTCTCTTCATTAAAATGTGTTCAGTTGCGATAGGGCGGACTTCGCCTGATTTTCTCTTTTCCTTCTGCACTTTGGTGTGGTACCTTTTGTGTACATTTTTTTTTTTCTTATACTTTTGTGAAGAGGAGTAGCTAGCCGTTGCATCACGCTGCTATAATTTTTTCCAAATCGGGGAAAAATTTATTGGCGCTAATGCTTTGGGTTAGGGGAGATAGGGACAGAAAAAAAAAAAAAAAAAAAAAAAAAAAAAAAAAAAAAAAGAGGGGCATGTAATATATATATGCATAGGAGCGACACGCGTGAGGAGTCATTTCCCCCCCAGAGCGGGTAATTGAGTGGTACGATGTGCGACGACTTCCTATAATTCGCTACCTCCAAAAAAATGTCCCTACGCCAAAACACGTCGCTGCACCAACATATTAACCAATCAGTTTATGTGCATGTAGAATGGTGACATAAGGCCAACCCTGCCCAGCCGACATATTCGACTATACTTAAGAGATGGGAAGAAGGGGAATTTCTCCACCGGTTTTTCTTTCTTTTCTTTTTTTTTTTTTTTTCTTAATGACATGTCGTTGTATGGAGTACAAGTATAACTATATCCACGTAGATTTAGAAAACAGAACATACAAGATGCACCTCCTATACTGATCCTACTTGTGCGTTGGCGAGTTTGATATAAAGTTCTCTTTGCTGCTTCAGCCTGAACCCTGGCTTGAGATAAGGAGTGACACATATGTGAGCGATTCCTTCCACTTACCATGTTAAAACGAAGGGACCTCAATGAGGGGAAGCACTGTGGCCTAGATAGCGTTGACACATACGAGCAGAGAAGCTGCACGTCGAGTGAAGCATCGGTTAGGGATGCCCAGTTGGTAGCTGTATGTGGAGGTGAAGACCAACGAGAGAGCCGCAAATGCGTATTCAGTACTAACCCCATGAACAGCAATTTAGGGTTAGGGTTGTTCAGGGTCCCGAATGGTGTTGAAGGGAATGGCGGAAGATGCAATAACTGCGGAGATAGGGATGACCAATTTTCCTACACAAGTCAGCCTAGGTCTAACTTTGTCAACAAGGATAAAGAATTGCGTGATAATGGGATTAGCATGTCGGGGCAGGTGGAGCACATGACGGATGATCGGACCAATGGAGGGGTACTAAGCCGTCTTAGTGAAGAGGCGTGTTTGGGGAATGCTTGTCGAGACAACACGGGGAGCTCCACGGAGGCACCCTCCGTTTGTGCTATGTGTATGGAGCAGCAAAAGGGGCCAGTGAAGGGGGTGCGCAGGAAGGTGATCAAACGGGTGAAGAGGAAGGACCAGCAGGGGGGCAGCGACGGTCTTAGCAGCGACGGTCTTAGCAGCGACGGTCTTAGCAGCGACGGTCTTAGCAGCGACGGTGTTATCAGCGACTGTGTGAGCAACCAATGCAACGGTGCAGACACTCCCCCCCGAGAGAGTAACGAAGCGGATGGAACAAGGCAGGAACAAATAAGCAAAAGCATTAACAACATTTTACGCTCGTCCAATGTGCCGCCAAAAGATATGCTTAAAAGGACGGGTCGAAGATTTGCAGATACCTTTCTGTACTTAACAAAAGGGTACCATATGAGTGTAGGAAAAGTTATAAAGAAATCCTTGTACAAAAGAAATTACAAAAATAATTCCCTCATTAAAATACGTGGAATACATATATATTCTATGTGCAAACATCACTTGTTACCATTCGAAGGAGAGTGCACTATAGAATATATCCCTAATAAATATATTATGGGGTTGTCGAAGTTTTCTAGGGTTATTGACATTTTTGCTAGGAGGCTACAACTACAGGAGGATTTAACCAATGACATTTGTAATGCTCTGGGGAAATATTTGAAGCCGAAATATATGCATGTAAATGTTGTGGCCAGGCATTTGTGCATTAATATGCGCGGCGTGAAGGAACACGATGCGACTACTGTGACGGATGCATACTATGAGGTAAAAAATGACACGCGTGAGGATCAGCAAGTGGATGGACTTACTTGTGCTCCCTTCCATAATGCGAACCAATTATCTCGTGAAGATGTGGCGTTTGTACGAAGGTAATCTGTGTGTGTTACCCCTCTTGTGCATTGTGAGACGGTAGAAAAAACGCCCCTTTTCCAACTGCTAACTACACACCACCGTACCCATCTCTGTTACTTACATGCTTTCAAAAAAGACATAATAAGAGACAAGATTCTTATACCTATTTTAAAAATGATGTATTTTTTTATAACAGAAAAAGGGGAATAGCAACGCCCGTGCGCACATGTGCGTGTAACTCGTGTACACTTTTAAAGTAACGTGCATGGTTCATAAAAAAAAAAAAAAAAATTAAAAAAATTATGCATTAAAAATGTTGGGTAGGAAAGGTGTACGCACGTGTGGGCGACTGCGACGTCGAAGTATAGGCATGTGACGACGTGGAGAAACACAAAAGCATGCGCTTGCCCTACAGGCGCCTACATGCATATGCGTACATATACGGACATACACATATGCATACACACACATGTACATGCATATGCGTACGTATCAAACAGCGAATTACTTAAAAAAAAAAAAAAAAAAAAAAAAAATGAGCCTATATATATACACACATAACACCCTTCCGTATGGTGCAAATATATACAAACAAAACTTTAACTGGGTGCTTTAAAAGCTCTTCTTTAAATTGATTAAAAAAGGGGGGGGGAGGTAGGATTGAAAAACAAAGAACGGGGTTAAAAAAAAATACGAGGCGCTAGTGTTAAGGTCAAATATGGAGAGATCCCCCAACCAAGCAAATGGGCATCTGTTCCATGTTAATTTTCTTTTGTGTGCTATGATCTGATTCAATTACACATTTTCCAATGTGTATACTAAATCCTTTTCCACGTGAAAAAAAATGGCCGATTTTTTTTTTTTTTTTTTTGACTCCCCATTTGGTGTGGCGCGGAGAGCCATACGTAAAATTGTCGTCGACTGGGGCTTTCGTCAGTGTGAAATGGTACCCAGGAGGGGTGCTCTTCTGCGATCACTTCCGTAATAACCGTAGACACATATCCTGCTGCCGATAATCCACACAATGTGGCCGCTAACCGTATCCTGCCGCTCCGCACAAGCCTAATCGTCCAGCGAAATGTGCGTCAAATTAATGCAATTAATATTTCCGCACGCCATGGTGAAGGCTTTCTTCGGCTTTTTCTGAAGTTCCTGAAAGCTGGCTTCGTCTACAAGGGGGTGTGGGTGGGGGCGCATTTTGAGGGGCCAGCGTGCAGCCTTGAAGGTGCATATACAAGCCAGCACGTACGTGTGCTCACATATATATATATATATATATATATATATATATACGCCGATGCGGACGTAAAAGGAACTTAACCTGCATACAGAAAAATGAGCACTCGGTTAACATACGTGATGGTTTCTACGTTGTCGTTCCCCTTCTTCACCGATATGATGGGGCAGTTGTCGTTTTTGTTTTTGTCTCCATACCAAAAGACACACGCATAGTCATCCCCCAAAATGGGGTCGTCATTTTTGGCGATGCCGTTTGCGATTTTGCCTGAGGGGGGGGTATGGGATGCACGAAAGTTGCAATTACAATTTGGTCAGAGCGAGCGATTGTTAAATGGTCACATAGGGGGAGAAGGCTTCTACAGGTGTTCTCGTTCAGGGGGGATGGAGGGAGTAGATGATGTGTGCCCCCTTCTCTGTTCCTTCCTTACATAAAATATTTTGAAGTTGCTGAGAATCCTTCCAGTATTCCTTGGCCCTGGGGTGCACGTAATTTTCCCATGCTCGACATAGGAGCAAGATTTCATTGGTGGACCTTTTCTCCACTTGATGATCTCCTACTTTGGACAAAACCTGAGATACGTTGTTACTGGTGCTATCCTGATCGGAGGGGGGTAAACGAAAGACGGTGGGTTTTTATGCAAAAGTGTATGTGTGTACCTTTCGGCGCGCATAGTAGTGATGATGCGCGACATTCCGCTTGCCCCCCCTTTTGGTCGTTGACTATCTACTAGTGCGGCTTCCCGCGTTTCCACCGATTTGCTATCAATCCGCCCAACCCATAAGCTGCTATATATTTATATATATTTTTTTTTTTTGCGGTTACGTCGTACGTCACATGGGAGCTTTTTTTTTCCTCCTTTTTCGGCGGCTTTTCGCCATAGATAAAATCTAAGATATAATCGAAAGGAGACACTGAGCAGTATTGGCAGTTGAAAATATCCATTTTATTTTTATAAACTACGTGGCTTGCTTGGAAGGTTTTAAAAATAAAAAAAAAGGGTTTTAAAAATTTGTCAAGCAAAAAAAAAAGGGAACGAGCGGAATAACCATGTTCATAATAAACGTACGCGCGGATGCATGCATGTTAAATGTAAATGAAGAGGAGCTACGCGTGTATGCACAAGTGTAGGTGTACGCGCAGGGGTTCCTATGTCTATGCGCGCCAAGGTTGAAATAATTTTTTGTAAAAATATTTTTTTTTTTTTTGGGGAAGGGTGGGGAACTTTGAAAAATTCGAAAAAAATGAAAAATTTTGAAAAATTCGAAATATTGAAATGTTTAATTTTGAAATGTTCGAAAATGTTTGAATGTTCAATTGTCAAAAATGCTCAGGTTCCCTTTAAAATGGTGGCAGCATTTCAAATTTTCCAAATTTTCAAAACTTCGAACTTTTCGCGATTTAAAGCTTTTAAGCGACTTTAAATCTGAAATGAACGCGTTGTGAACAAAAAAAAAAAAATAAAATAATAAAATAAACTGAGCACTTTTTATTTTTACCGAAATATTCTTTCCATTTTTAAGTGGCGTTTTGTCAAGTACACAATCGTATTTTTTTTTTTTATCGTTTGACCTTTTAGACTTTTTATGGGGTATTCCCAATATGCTTTTTTTTTTTTTTTTTTTTTTTTCTCCAAATTGGCAATAAGCATTTACAAAATATTTAACTTCTTACCTTTTAAGGGGAAAAAAAAAACCATAGTGTATACACAAGTTACACGTCAGTGCGTGTGCCGAGTAGTTGCATCACAACACACGAGCAATACCATTTTCGCGTCAACTCGGGCACATAATGATACGTACACACGTGTACACTAGGCATATTGGCGAATATATGGATATCCCCACCACACACACACACATGGACCCTTCGAACGGTCATATGAAACAGAACAGAACAGAACAAGTGGCCAGGCTGGACATGTTTCGTCACTTCGAAAAAAAAAAGGGGAGGAGAAGCGGAAAATGTTCGTGAAATTTTTCATGCTTGCGGTTTGGTAAAACCAAGGTAGGCCAGTCTCCTCCACCAAAAAGAAGCACGCGGATGGTACACACGAAATGCACAAACTGAAGTTGCGTTTGTAAATTTGTTTCTTACTTCGACAGGGAACATTCCTTGCTCATCTCAGCAGTGCAACTGCGCAAGGGTACTCGCCATTTTCCTTGGCAAAAAAAAAAAAGAGGGGCTAACAACAAAATGGGGTTGCCTTTTTCTTGTTCTCTGCAGTTTAACGGCTTTTATTATGCCCCTTCCATTATTTCGAACATGTGTTAATAAATTTCGCCTTTTAAAAAAGTCAAAGTGTTGTAATGTTTTCTGGCTTCCGGGGGACAATACATTGGTGCATTTTGGAAGTATTGTATATAGCAATTAGCACCTATTTTGAAGTAATACACTGCGCAGAGAACTATCCCTGAGGCCACTCTTCACACGCACTTGAACTCTGAAAAGACCAAATAGCTAAAATGGCTGTAATGTTAAAAAAAAAAAAAAAAATCCGCAACTTTTACCTGCACACTCAGGCGAACACTTGGTGACACTCTAATAAGGAATTGCTTAAAAATGAAAAAGCGGAACTTCTCTCTCTTCCTTCACGTGAATAAAAAAGCTGAATGCTGTAAAAATGGTTAATTTTTGCGCGGAGAAAGGTATGCGTTTCTCCTGATTGCTTTCTCCAGAGGTGTACATATTCAAATGAGTGATAAAATTAAAAATGCAGTGTCAGGTAGGGTGTGTGCCCAATATTGTATTTGTTTTTTTTTTTTCTTTTCCTTTTGTTCGCAACATTCCCATGTGCAACACTGCATTGTCTGTCTAGCGTACAGAGGTTCACGTAGAACGTTTCCATTCTGTCCACTGTTGCATTTGGTGTGAGGATTCATAAAATGCGTGTGCACGGGAAAAGTGCTGCTGTCTATGTGTATATTTTTCCGTGAGGCCATGTTAGACTCCCAGGTGGGTGGCAAAAGAAAACGCTCATTTTTGACCCCTTGGGCTGAGATCATACTGTGTCACGCCGCGTCACGCCTCGTCATGTTGCCTCACTTTGCGTTTCCCATTGTACATTCGGACAAATTCAACTCTGTAAAAAGACGCAGCCACTACGGAGAACACAACGAGTGGTGCCCTTTTTTATTTCGTTTTTGAAAAGGTAATTCGCAAGTAATTCTCGAATAATGCGTAAAAGGTCTCCCCTGCGTGCGTTAAGGAATTCCCATTCGAGGTTGTACAGCTGCTGAGGATCTCCTCACCCCCCGTTGGTCAGCCCAGCGTTGTTCTGTCTGCCCCCTGATCGGCCACCAACCTGGGAAATCCCCGTCATGCCACTTGACCCCCCAACGCCATCCTCTTTTTTCACTGTGGAAAAAAAATAAAAAAGGAAATGCTTCCTACATGAAAGGGTTATATAAAATTTTCATACGTTATGGAACAAAATGAATAAATCAACATGCATATTTTTGATACTAGCCAATTTTGATTTAAAAATGTTGCAAATTGTTTTTTCTTTTTCCCCTTTTCGATCTGGCAAAGTTGTTAAGAGCGAATTTGCACGCGGTCCGCTGACCACACCCGTGGGTGTTATAATAACGTTTGGGTTTTTTCCACGTCACCCTCTGTTTGTACATGCGTCCACAGGTACACTTGCCCAATATGCATTCAAAAAATGCACTTATGTAACCATACACAGACATATGTATTTACGTGAAAAAAAAAAAAAATGTTCGAATGTTGTTCACCGCATGACACATATAGCGGACAGGAAAAAAAAAAAAAAAAAAAAAAAAAAAAAAAACACGCAACAGTGTACACTGTCATTTTAGCAAAAAATGAGTACATTTTTGGTTTGCCGTTTTTTCATCCCCGCAGTTGTCGCACGAGATAAAAAAACAACCATTTGAACAGATGATGAGACGAGCAAGTGCGCATGTTAACAGGTGAAGGGGGAAATATTTTTTTGAGAAACAACGCGAATGCATGCGTAAAAAAAAAATACGCGCCCACATCAGTGCGAACGCAGAAAAGCGCGAGTTGTTGTTCCCTCGTTTGAGCAAATTTTCCACGAATTTTCCATGCAGTTGTTGTGCCATCATTGGGCCTCTTCTTCCTACCCCTATTTTTTTACCCCTCCATTTCTGTCCCTTCGCTACCGCTGCTTGAGCCCACGACAACGAACAGGCGAATGGGTGAACAAGCAAACATTTCTGACACCTTCGTAACTGCTTGCTGAGAAGGTGGACGGCAATTACCCGCGCCGAGCTGTCCACATCGAAGTGTACTCCTGTACGAAAAAGTTTTGCATCCCGCGGAGAAGCGCCCATCCTGCGTTGCCACGCACACGGGGGAAAAGCTGCTCTAAAAAAAAAAAAGGGAAACTGGGAAAAGGGGCTCGACAGAGCTACACCGGAGAAAAAAGTCTCTGAGAAAGCGCACACCAGGCAAAGTGCCCTGACGGTCGCGCATCCGGCAAAGCACTTCCCCCCCCCTGCCAGACAGTAAAAATGCAGGTCGTGTGCGACTTTGCGCACCTGAAGATGCTGCACGGGACGGTGTCCATTGGGAAGATCATCTACACAAATCTGAAGCAGCTAGCGAAAAACCAAAACTACCGCTTCGATGAAGAAATAGAAAATTTCTCCAAAATGAGAGAAAAAATAATAACGGTGCAAAATAAAGGGGTTAACGCAAATTTGTTAAAAATGTACAAGGAGTATTTATTTTACTTTGAGACATTTCGAAAAAAAAATTTATTAAAGGAGAAAAAGAAATTGCTCTGGACCAACGACGCATTTGATGAGTATAAAAGAGTGGAGTACGAATTTGAGCAGGAACATATTTTAATTATATTTAACATTGGCCTTGTAGCAGCAACTATGTTAAAAATGAAAAAGAATTCCGATGATGTGAAAATGTTGAATAGAATGTCCAAGGACGTGGTAGAGATATTTAATTATTTATTTGTTAATATGAATGAGGATAAAATTCCACAACTACCAGATATAAACTGTTTAACTTGTTACCTGTTTTTGTGTATATCTTTGGCGTATCATGAGAATATGTTTTACAATACAGCTCTGGCTAAGAAATACAAGCGCAACTTATTAGCAAAGCTGTCTTTCAATATACATTGTCATTTTAAGAATGCATTGCTTTGTTTGGAGGGGAAGGATTTGCATTTATTTTTTAAGAACCCCTCGAGAATATCACCATCGTCGTCATCCTCTTCAGAAATAAGGTCAAATCTGCAACATGTAAGAAGCAGTAACAGTGTATTCTACAATTTTGTGAAAGTGAATAAAATGATTTTTATTTGTATTAGCAATTTCCACACGGCTTTGAAGTACGCCACTGTACTACATGCTGAGAGCTCAGAGGATAATATAAAAATTGAAAAATACGATGTGGAAAAAATTGGAGAAATTATATGTCGACTTAAGTACAGCCAGGAGAATGTTCACAAATGTGTAGAGCTGTGCAAGAAATACAATTTTAATATTAATCTGACCTCCTTGAGGGAGAAAATTCAAACAGCCATAGAATATTTTGAGTATGAAAATAGGAACATATATTTTGAGGTTATACCTAGTTATGAAAGTCTGAGTGAAATAAAAGGAACTTCTGAAGTGATTAAACTGAAGGACATAGATGTGTCTTCCATTTACATCAAGGGGGAAAATATTTCTTGCAGCTTGAAATTATTATTTAATGAAAAGGCAGAGCTAGTTTATAACCTCTACAATAATGAAGCCACTTCGGTGTATAATACTTTTTACAAACAATTTGTGACTCTACAAGATCAGTACAAATTAATCAATTTGAGTTACCGGAAAAATGTACTCCTAACCCTACACAATATTATCATCAACACGTATAATAAAATTACTAACGTGTATAAACCTAGTCATTTTGAGAATAACTTAAATTTTTTACAAAACATGGAACAGAATTTAAAGGAAATTTTAACTCAAGTGGAGAATAGCCTCACAGCAGAACATACAAACCATGTAGAATTTCAGAGGAAATTTTTAAACGTAGGCATTAATCAAGAATCTGTTAATTCCTATAATTCCTTTTTATATCATTTGAATATTTTTAAAAAGTCATTAGAAGAAATTCATTCAAGTGTAGAATCGTTTAGAAAATTTCTCCACGACCATCAGATGCACTTTCAAATTTGCCAAATGGATGTTTCAACATTTGCCAAGTACATCGTTGACGATTTGAATACATGCACAGATGTAAAAATTGAATCCTTAGACCATGAGTATTGTTACTATAAGAATTTGCTATCTGATGATAAAGAAAATGAAACAAACTCTGTTAGTAGCATTGGGGATTTGTCGGAGGTGTCTAGTACGACCTCACCATCTTTGAATTACTTTGACTTCCATGCCTTCCTTAAAAACCAGAATTTGACTTATGGAACACAGAATAGCCATGGGGCTAGCGAGAAGAACCTCTTTCACTATGATGTTGTGAATAATTATATCAATGTGCACTCGGAGGAGAAGCTCTTCTTCATCATCCTCGCCATTTACTTTTCGCTCAGCATACAACTAACCGCGTTTGGCGCCGACCTGGAGGAGCTCAAGGGCAGCATGCATGATGTCTTCCTCAACTCCATCTCGGTAGGTGCAGTTGGTGTGGGGCGATTAGCCAGCGTAGCGCTGTTACTATAGGGAGTCATCTGCGTTGGCGCGGCTTCAACTAGTTTTTCACCAGTTCATCACGTCATCTGTTCATGACTGCCATCCCCGCAGGAGGAGCGCGACGAGGACAAGCTGAACGACCTGCTGCAGAAGCAGAAAGCAGCCCTCAGCACCAAGAAAGACAAACTGGAGGAGAACGTTGCGTCCTTCGAAAAAAACCTCAACCAGTTCTATGACCACTATCATGAGTACAACAAGTTAGATTACTTTAAGACGATCGAGGTAGGTTTGGCGAGGTGAAACACCTGCCACCTGCGCAGCGGGCTGTGACTGCCGAATTTGCTTTCTTTGGAGCCCATTTTTGTTGCATGATTGTTGGAGGGATCCGCTTCACCACCGCTGCTCACTTCACCGCTGCTCACTTCACCGCTGCTCACTTCACCGCTGCTCGCTTCACCGCGCAGGACCTGAACACGTTCAGCAACAACCTCATGGGGACCGTCGAGAGGCTAAACGAAATGAACAAGAAGCATTCCTACACGCTCAAGAACTCCCTTGTGTTTAAGGACGACGTAAGGAAGGAACGACCATCCATTTGGTTGTCCTATGTGGCGAATAGTGTTAGAAATGGACGCGATGACGGAGCATGAGTGGACACGGTACACGCAGCATATTTTTTATTCTTCTTTTCTCCCCTGCAGATAAACAGATATATATACATGCGCGAAAGCGAGCGGTCCACTATTAGGTAATTGGCCTCGTCCATTTGAAGCTGCACTTGCGTGGAATTGTGTACATTTGGGTGTGATAAAAAAGTGTGTGTCTCATCCACGTGCTGTGTGCTACCTATATATGTATACCTCTCGGGGGTCGCGTATATATTTATTTATATTTTTTTTTTTTTTTCCGCAGAGTGCAGCAAGTTCCAAATGGCTACTCCCGAAACATCCCCAACAGGCAGGAGCACTTTTACTGACACGACGAAGCACGTATAAAATTGTTGGAGAGGCCGTTTTTTTTTTTTTTTTTTTTTTTTTTTCCTATTTCGTTTCCCTTTGCTCCTCCCCTGAAAGTTACTTCCTTTTAAGATTTGTATGTTTTCATCCAATTGTACTGCTTTGATCAATCTTTTTTTTTTTTTTTTTTTTTTTTTTTATTTGGGTCTTTCGCAGTGGAAAAAAAAACAGTAAATGGAGTCGCACAAATTTATTAACAGTAAGCAACTCCGTTTGCGTGCGATCAATTTTGTAGCTGCGTACTGCCTCTTGTTCTGTCCCACCTAAGGGGCAAACAAAAGTTGTATATCAAATCTCACTCACGCGTGAATAATTTGTTCAATTATTTATTTGTATGTTTCGCTTAAAACACCTGCACGTTTGTTAAAGCACGAGCATGTCTGCCTCATGTGGACACGCACGAGTGGGGAGAAGCAACGCTTTGTATATGTATATGTTAACAATTATCTTTGAACGAATGCCAATCCCGCAAAATAGCGGCGTATAAAAAGAATGGTTACGTATCAGTGTTGTTGGAGGGGGGTTAGAGCAACATACCCATGAGACCCGCACACATACATATATACGCGTCGCAGCAGTCTCTTTACATATTGCCTCCCTATTTTTGTACCCACCATACAACTCCAACAAAAAGGAGGACAGTTACAAGAGCGACAAGGATACATCGTTAACATGTGAAGGGGCAAGTGGTATACAATCACACATCTGCGCGCGTCTGGTCCCCCTCACCGTTATACACACACAAAAACGCAACGTCGCAATGACGCATTCCTTTATTGTGAAATTTGGGGTGGCGGAAGCGATTTGTAAAAATCATGGCCAAGCTAATAAATGTTTATACTTTCCCGGTTGGAAATTTCGAACAAGGGGCAGTGTAAATATATAAGTGGCAAAAGGGGGAACCGAAAAATGTTGAGGACATGAGAAAGGGAAATGTACTCTCCACGCACGATAAAACAGGGTCATCGTGACGTAAAGGGAGTACATACACATAAGTGTACTGCATGTGTGGAACGAAATAAATAGCCCGCACAATGTGCCACCACGCGCACCTCCCTCTGGAAGGGCACATATATATAACGCCTACGGGTGATGTACCCCTTGTTGAAAGAATTAACACCACACCTAGTCATATATCAGGCTTCTTCGTGCCAGATTATATGCTCTAATAATATAACTAGCTGGCAGTTGCGTCGAGGGAAAATAAAATAAATAAATTATAACTCCCCAACTTGCGCTTCTAATTAAAGTGAAACCGGCGTGTATACCATATGCAAAATGTATTATTACGTATTATTGACAAGGTGGAAAAAATGTTTAAAAAAAAAAAAAAAAAAAAGGTACAGAAGTAAATATAGGTATAGACATAGGGATGAACAACAAGGGGAGAAAAGAAGACATTCGGTGATTCTTTTTTTTTTTTTTTTTTTTGTTTTCAAAAAAGAAGAATTAGAATAATATATGCAGTTATTGCATAATAAGGCCATGTGTGCCGTATAGAACGAGGAGGGGGAGGTTAATTTTTTGCCAGGTCGATGGGTGGAAATATGTATACAGGCTCAGCCGTACATATATACTTTTGGGCGCCCTTTAGCCCTTTTTTTTTTTCCTTGTCAACTGTGAAGGACGGGGGGTTCTGATGTGCAAGGCATGGCAGGGTGAATCAAACAAGTGGGGATCCATAATACATGCACGAAAAGGTATATGCAAAATGATGGGTATAAATTAGGGGCTATAAAAGAAATACGCAAAAATGGGGACAAAAAATAGGGCAGGCAAAAAAAAGGCCTAAAAATGGCCATAACGGTACGCTGCGGTATAAACGAGCCCAGTAATGCGCTTTGCGTGAGGGGTACAATTGGTTGAACCTTTACAGGGTTTAGGGGCAAGTTCCTTTTGTGCGCAAAAAAAAAAAAAAACAAAAAAAGGCACTACACCGGGATAATGTATTATATATGTACGACTACTCACTGTTGCTACACTACGTATTTATTATGCATACATGTTTCCGAGCGCAGTATGCTCCGCCATAAGCCCCCCCTTGAATTGCCAAGCTTGCCCCATCCACGCCTCTTTAAAAGCGGCAGTTAAGCACTGACTTGATGTATCCTCACGCGCATATATATATCCCCATCGCCCCCACTCGAGAAATATGTATTCGTACCAGTAGGGGAGGTACGAATTAAAGTAGCACAATTTATACACGGTATGTATATATATATATACATACGAAAGCGCGACGTTCGTAATATTTTATATAAATATGTTCCGTCGGCACGTTGGTCACCGTTGGTCACGTTGCACCGGTATGTCCATTGGCTCGAGCATGCCGCTTTTTTTTTTTTTTCCCGATTACGGAATTTATTTTTTTTTTTTGTTCACCCCAACACCACAATTTTCGTATTTCAAAAAACAAAAAGAAAAAAAAATTATACCCATATAAAATAAATTTTACAAAAAATTTACAAAAAAAAGAAAAAACAAAAACTTTATAAAAATATGAAACTCACAAAAAACCAAAAAAAAACGTAAAAATAAAAGGCTATAATTATTTAACAAAAAAATAGCATAAGCATATAAAACAAAACAAATAAACAGTATAATAAAAAAACCCACCTGGAAAAGGAAAAAACTACAAAAAAAAAGAACAGAAGAAGAAAAAAAAAAAAAAAGCCATCAAGGAAAAGGTAGAAGGAGCCAGAGAACAGATAAAGGATAAGCATACCAAGAAATGCAAACAAAAATACTTGCAAAAAAAAAAAAAAATACGCACAAATATAAGTATTAAACATAAGTACATATATATATATAATAATATACCTATTTGCCTGCTTCGAATATTTGGCATATATATATATTCGTGCATACCCACGGACGTAGGAGATATATATAGTGTACATACGAAAAAAAGGCGCTCTTTTGTACTTGCGCTCACGTTACCCCGGCCTACATGTACAGCCGTGCCAGCCACCCATCCGTACATGTTTCCCCCGCCTGCGCGAGGTCCAGTTGCGAAAAGGAGTATATATATGTATAAGGGAAACGGTGCCCACGGAGGCTATATATACCAACACAGTGTATAATTTAAATGGTCAAATTGACGCATGCGTTGTACGGAGTTAGTTTTTACATGTGTAGGAAGTAAATTATTGTGGTAGAGTATATACATGCATACATGCACGACCGGCCACTGTGAGCAATTCATACGGTTGCAAATTGTTGAATGCGCTTCGTGACGGCTAGATCTGTGAATCATCCGCTTATCGGGGAAGGAACGAAAAAGCAAAGCGAAGCGGGGAGTGGAGACTCAGCAAGTGTGAATATATTTATAACATACTTAAGTGGTTTGTACATAAGAGCATACATGTGCACGTCGCTTCTATCCCCCTTGTACCACCCTTCAGCGTGTTGTTTATTGCGCGTGTAACATATTTTTGTTGTGTCGCTTCACTCCCCGCCGTCTTACTTCATATTTAACAGGGCAAGTGTTTTTTTACCGACCCCCCACGGCGCCCATTTAATGATTCTCTTCCAAACGTGTTCTTGTGCCAACGGTGTTTTGAACCCCGCCCACGCCATGTGTTGTTTAGAAGGGAGTACGTGGTATATATAGCATCTATTCTTGCCTCCCCGTGTGGAAGTTCCGAATCGAACCCGCCCTATTTTCCTTTGTGCACACTTTGTACTCATTGTGTGTACTTTTTTGTGTGGAAGTATAATTAAAGAACTGTTGTGTATATATTTCTTTCTCGACCCCGCTGTGCAAATATATCTCTGCATGCATTCTCCCATTTTTTATGAGTTTTTTTTTTTTTTTTTAACCCTAATTAAGAATTCCCGTTGCATATTTATTTCAATTTATTCATCTGAGCGTGTGACTGTTGGCGACCGCTTCTACATCGCTTCCGTTGAGTAGTTTACCTACACGTTTGTTGTGCGTGCAAATTTTTTTTATTTTTTTATTTATTTATTATTTTTTTTTGCTTCTCCGGAGTTTCAAACGAGGAGATAAGAAGCTGCGTTAAAAGCTGCGTGTTTTATCTGCACAACGCTACGCGTACAAGTGGTGACCCTTTTTCCAATCCGCGCGGAGAACGCCCCACACACATATAGACGCAAAGACGCAAAAAACACCTAATACCCCATTACACGTTGACAAGATGCTGGCCACTGGAACGAACATCATGCACCCAAGCTTTTCCACCGCCTCCCTATATGTGGGGGATTTGAACGAGGATGTGACCGAGGCAGTCCTGTATGAAATTTTCAACACAGTCGGACATGTGTCGTCCATAAGAGTATGTCGAGATAGCGTAACAAGAAAATCATTGGGTTATGCATATGTGAATTATCACAATTTAGCAGATGCAGAGAGAGCACTGGACACATTGAATTATACAAATATAAAAGGACAACCAGCTAGACTTATGTGGAGTCACAGAGATCCATCTTTAAGAAAAAGTGGTGCTGGTAATATATTTGTGAAAAACTTGGACAAGTCAATTGATAATAAGGCCCTATTTGATACCTTCAGTATGTTTGGAAATATTTTATCCTGCAAGGTAGCAACAGATGAATTTGGTAAAAGCAAAAGCTATGGTTTTGTTCATTATGAAGATGAAGAGAGTGCAAAGGAAGCTATTGAAAAGGTTAATGGAATTCAATTAGGATCTAAGAATGTGTATGTGGGTCATTTTATTAAAAAATCTGAGCGAGCTACTAACGATACCAAGTTTACCAATCTGTATGTGAAGAATTTCCCCGATAGTGTTACCGAGACACACTTGAAACAGCTGTTTAGCCCATATGGAGAAATCACTTCCATGATTGTGAAGACAGATAATAAGAACAGGAAATTTTGCTTCATCAATTATGCTGCTTCGGAGAGTGCAAAAAATGCTATGGAAAATTTGAACGGGAAAAAGATTACGGAGGATGGGCAGATAGATCTTACGTACGATGCGAAGAAGGAAGAAGGAGAGAGTGGAAGCGGTGCAGATGCTAATGGAGTAGCAGGTGAAGGAGCAGCAGGCGATGCGAAGGGAGACAATAACAAAGCTGCTACTACTGCTGCTGCTGCTACTGGTGATGGTGCCAAAAGTGGTGAAGAAATTGACGGCGCAGCTAACACCACAGCGGCCACGTCTGAATCTGCCAAGGGGAAAGATGGTACCAATGCAGAATATGATGATAAGGCTAATGCAGCATCAGGGGAAACTTCAACAGACGCAGCTGCTAACGCGAAGGATGATGCAGGAAGTACTAGTGGAGCAAATGCAACCTCGCAAGGAGAAGGCGCAAATGGAATTAGTAAAAAGGAAAGTGGTTCAGAGAACGCAGACAGTCCTAACATTTTATATGTAGGCCCTCATCAGTCTAGAGCCAGAAGACATGCCATTCTGAAGGCCAAATTCGATAACCTTAACATGGAGAATAAGAACAAACACCAGGGTGTAAATCTGTATATAAAAAATTTGGACGATGCGATTGATGACCAAACGTTGAAGGAATTATTTGAACCATATGGAACAATCACATCGGCGAAGGTCATGAGAGACGACAAGGAACAAAGCAAAGGGTTCGGTTTTGTCTGCTTCGCTTTACAAGAAGAAGCAAACAAAGCAGTGACAGAAATGCACCTGAAAATTATTAATGGAAAGCCGCTGTATGTTGGATTAGCAGAAAAGAGAGAACAAAGATTATCTCGACTACAACAACGATTCCGTATGCACCCCATAAGACACCACATGAACAATGCATTAAATTCTCCCATGCAGTACCCAAATCCACAGTCCCCACAGTTGCAGTTTAATCAGAACACATTAAATTATGGAAGACCAGTGTTAACTCCATTTAACCAAAATAATCTCATTTCGTGGAGACACCAACAAGCGGCACAACAACAAGTAGTTCACCAACAGGCAGCTCAACAACAGCTAAATTTTAATGCAAATTTAAGAGGACAAATGAACCAGATGAGATTCTACGCACAAGGAGGAGCAAACATGTTGAATAACAGCATGAATCAAAATAAGGTGAATTCGCAACTACACCCAGGACACCAATATCCTAATGCATTAGGGCAAGCAAATCCACAGCAACAAAATTTAAATGCACCAGGACAACACAACAATAACCAACCTATGCAACAACAGCCAGGAAATAACCAAATGATAAATAATAACATGAGAAATATGAACAGCAGAGCTAGCCGAAATATGGGAGGTGGAAATATGGGTAATATGTCGAATCAGAAACAGCTACCCCTCAACATGGTAGGAAAACAGAACACTGCGCAAGCCAATCAGATGAACCACCAAGGACCACCTCCACCACAACAACCACAGACTCAACAACAGACTCCACAGCAGCAGACACAACAAAAGTCAGCTCAACAAATGCAACAACAGGTACCTCCAAATGGAAATTTTAAATTCACATCACAAGCAAGAAACCGTATGGAAATGCCAAACAAAAATGCAAATAAAGTTAACCCAATTAATAACATGAATGTAAACTTTAACAACAACTCTACTTTAACCGCTGCTGCTCTGGCATCTGCACCTCCATCCATGCAGAAGCAAGTTTTGGGTGAAAATTTATTCCCCCTGGTTGCGAACTACCACCCTACTCTAGCTGGAAAAATTACAGGAATGATGTTGGAGATGGACAACTCCGAGTTGCTAATTTTGCTCGAAAATGAAGAGCAGTTGAAGAAGAAAATTGACGAGGCGCTTGTCGTGCTGCAGAAGGCTAAGTAGGCTCCTGGACCGTTTCTTTGTGTGTAGTTGGTGCGCTTGGTATACGCGTTGCCACCTTGGCAGCGGGATTCATTCCCATGTCTCTATGCGCTTTCGCATGGGCGCTTGTTTGACAGTTAAATTTTAGACCACTATGCAGGAGAGAAAAAGTGGGCCCCTCAGTTGCAGGGGAAAACGACCCACATATCGATATATATATATATATATATATGTTATGTACAACACCCTATGCATGCATTCACCTGTACATGCCCATACGAATCGTGCGAGAAATCCCTCTACTCACAAGTGTGTGTAAACACATTCCACGCTTATCTCCCCTTACGATTTTTGTATGCAAAGAAGTATGAAATTTATATATGTGAATCGAATCGTTGTAAAAAGAATAAGTCTTTTTTTTTTTTTTTTTTTTTTTTTTTTTTTTTTTTTTTTAAATTATTTATCTTTTTTTTTTTTTTTTTTTTTTTTTTTTTCTTTTTTTTTTGTTTACAAAAAGGCCAGAATAACAAACATTTAAGAGAATATTATAAACTTGTTTTCCTAATGCTTAAAATGTGCAAAAAAAAAAAAAAGAAAATTGAGTCATTTTATAAATGGCCAAAGATGTCTTCGAAAAGAATTGCAATAGCATCGAATATAATTGCGATTGCATTGTAATTTTGTTTTTCCTTGGGGTTCTTTTTTCTCACGAACAAATCAGCCACTTTGTTAAATAAAATACATTTGTTGTGCAGATTTTACGCGTGATGTTATTTTTTTTTTCGTGTTTTCTTTTCCATGTGTTTCCCTTCACTGCTTTATTTCGCACAACTTTAACTAGCGCTTGTAGCACCGCCTCCCAACCATCGGTCTTTCACGTAGCGATGAAGGAAAATGTAACACCATGTAACGCGTGCTCTACAGGAGTCAAAAATCGCACACGCACATGTATGCAATAATGTGACAACGTGTTCGAGTAAGGGTGGTGGTATATATTTTTGTCCTTTCAAATGTTTCAGTTTAAAACCATTTAAAAAAAAAAACAAATTCATGGTAAATAAAATGGATCGTAAAAACTAGATCGGCACACGAACATAATTTTGACAGGAAAGTTTTTGAAGCCTTGTTCTTTTTTTTTTTTTTTTTTTAAGACTCCCCATGGGGGTGTTAAAACCTCTGCAAAGCTTCGTTGTCGTTGTAGCGCTCAGGATTCGTCCAAAAGTGGCATACTTCAGCCAATTGTCACTTCCTCCAATTAGTATCTAAACGGAAAGTTCATGGGGAAATGTTCTAATTTACGTCAGAAACATTGCGACTGCATAGGCACTCATATGTATGCGGGGCGGATGAAACAATTTCCAGAAAAAAAAAATTCCACCTGAACGGTTCATGTAAAATTTGTCCGTGCTTGGGAAAAAAAAAAAAAAAAAAAAAAATATTCCGCTTTATAAAATTGGCTAGCAACTATTCCCCCGAAATTTTAATTATTAAAAAACGAAAATTTTAAGAAATAGAATTATAACGGACGAAATGTATAACCCATTAAAAAACAACGTAAAAAAAAAAATGCGGCAATCTATAATTTGGCTCAATTGCAACATCGACTTTTGTTGAAGCGTTCATTTCCCACTTGGCAAGTTTGCCGCAACTATATACATTCTCATGTTGTTTTAAAAAAGTATGAACAGTTCAGAAGAAGAAAAAAAAAATGAACAATCGATCAAGGAGGACATATATATAAAGTACAAATGTACGAATTATAATGATCCATGCATCCTGTTAGATACAGATAATATGCATTTCGCATTTTAGTACAGTGCGAGCGCGCCACCAAAACAAAGTGTAGTTCGCGAAACCGCACAAAGTCTACCCAATCCACGCAGAACAACATGGATAGCTCCATAATCCAGGACGACGATGTCATAATTACTGACACGTTTTTAAGTGACGAGGAGGAGGAAGAGTTAATAAACCAAAAAGCCGTTGCGCAAAGGAACGGCAGAGTGGGGATAAAAAAAAGTGGTTATAATACCGCTTATGTGGGAAACAAAAATTGGAGCAGCGTTCGCCATACAAATTTTGACGGACCCAATGAAGATGGAGCATCTTCCCTCGAGGAGGCATCTGTAATTGTAAAAAATGATAATTCATGTGAAGAGAATGAAAATGGACGCGACGACGAGGAGGGAGGTTTTTTCGACTTTGGCAATTATCTCAACGGTGTTGATGATGTAGGGGAGGAAGACAAACAGGAAGAAGAGAGTGGGAAAAAGATGCGGTCTGTAAGGAGCAACAAAGTGTGGCATGACTCGGATGATGATGTGATGGAGTGTGGCTCGAAGAGCCGTGCCCGAGGGTTTGCCGCCGAATCGGAGGATGATGAAAGTGTAGACGGAGACCAAGTCGATATAGGACATGAAACGGATGAAGAACACTTGATCAAAAATGAACAAAGCGAAAACTATTTCGAAAGGTACATTGACAAGGTAGACATTGAAACGTACGAAGGGGAGGAACAAAAAAACGCAGCAGCCACCATCAACATGGAAGACATATACATTTTTGATAACAACGAAATGGACTCTCATATAAAGAAGAAGAAGAGACAAAACAAAATGAATGAAAAAAGTATTTTTTTGAAATACTACTTACAGAAATTTACTTTGCATCGAATTGAGGACACAAAAATTAGACAACTAGTCGGCATGCCCAAGGCAAATTTAATTTTACCTGTGTATAACTCTGATTTGTATGTGCTTCAGTACAAGGAGAGGTTGCTGAGCATGTTGAAGAAGATCTCCTTCCGAGGGAGGATAAGCCATGTGCAGGAGAGTAACGGAAGCGCATACATCCTCATGCATGATAACTACGTTCGGAACTACAATTTGGAAAAGGGGTAAGGGAAAAACGCTGTGGCAAGTGTGAGGGTTTTTTTTTGTCCCATGGAATGGTTTGGCTTACAATATATATTTCCTCCTTTACGCGATGTGAATAATTCCCTCTTGTTTATAATTGACATTACATATCAACTCCGTTTGTTCATTTTCCCCCTGCAGGATTGTTTACAAAAATCGCATTCATCTTGGAAATGCTGGGCGTGTGATCCCCATGGAAATAAAATTCTTCGACACAAAAAATGAGGACAATAATGAACTGCCACAACAAAGTAGCGACCACCTGTATGGTATATCGTTCCGACGGAGCAGGAAGATAAATATATACGACACAAGAAGTTTTGATGTGGTGAAGAATTTTGAAATGGATTATAAATGTATTGGTATGAATTTCCACAAAAAAACAAACAGCTTGTTTGCCATTGACAGTAAAGGGAATTTATACAACTGGTGTTTGAACACAAATAAATTAATAAACAGAGTGGTAGATAATTACTCCGTTTTTCCATCATGTCTTAGCATGCATGGTGATTACATAGTTACGGGTTCCTTTAGTGGCTTCCTTAATTTATTTCATGTGGATAATTTGACATCCCCAATAAAGAGCTTTAAGAATTTGACGCTCCCAGTTAGCAATGCTATTTTTAACCCCTCCCACAATTGCCTTTTATATTTTACCAAGCTTGCAAAGAATGGTATTAAGCTGATCGACCTGCACACAAATTATGTGTATTGTAACGTCCCTTGGTTTAATACAAATGTGAAACACAACGTTCTTGCTGCTGATTTTTTCAACAGTGGCCATAATTTGTGTTTCTCCGTTAAGGCGAATTCGTTTTACGTGTATGACCTTTTTGGGGATGGTCCTGTGGCCTCAGGGTCGGGTTAAGTGAGCTCTTATGTTCCGTGCATCGGGTATGAGTTTGCCCCACCACGTAGTGAGGACTTTTCCCATTTTGTAAAGCCTTTTTGCGTATTTGTTTTGCTTGTTTTTTGGCCTATTTTTTTGCCTATTTTTGGCCTATTTTTTGGCCTATTTTTTTGCCTATTTTTTGGCCTATTTTTTGGCCTATTTTTGGCCTATTTTTTGGCCTATTTTTTTTGCCTATTTTTTTAAAACTTTTTTGTCAAATTTTTATATCCCATTTGTCCAAAATAAAGTGGAACAATTATGGAGGTGGAATTGTGAGGATTCTTATCTTCTGTCCCCGTCGGGAGTGATAAACGATCAGCTGAACACGCCGAAGCGGTTTGCACCCTTCAGTTGGCATTATTAAAAAGAAGAAAAAGGGAGAAAAAAACAAGGGGTTGGGAGAGGGAGCAAATGGCCATAATTACCCATACACCTTTGTGGACGTGGCTACATTACGGTGTTTTGTTTTATAGGAGAAGGAGCGACCGCGTAATTTGAATTGAGCAGATTCCTCCGCTGCTTAATGACGAAGCAACATTTGTGGGCTTCCCATTTGTGGAGAAAAAGCTGTGTATACGCGCATATGTGACGATGTCAAATTGTGTAACTTTTTTTTTTTTTTTTAACACTCTTGGTCAGTTGAGCCGCACCTTACCCCTCATTGGTGTTGGCCTTGCTTTTGCATTTCTCGATCATTTCGCGGTGAAGCCGATTAGCACATTTTCCCCATTAGCAGTTTGACCCCTTCACTGCGTCCCAGAAATGGAAATCGCGCGTGGGGTTCCTCTTGCACGTTTCGCTGCATGCATATTGAGTTCGTTCGGCACGCGTGCATGTTAACACGTATTTTAACATATGATCAGATTCCCCCACCCTGCCTCATGTGTATTCCCGCCTTAGCACATTTCCGCACAGCTAACGC